GTCTGGCACGCAGGCGAGCCTCTCCTAAGAAACCCCTGAGCTAGGGTCCTGTCCCAGGTGGCTCCTTGGACCCCCGTCAGGTGGGCACCCCCACGGGGCCTGAGCATCACGGGGGACAGGCGCCACCGGCCAGGCCCGTGTACGGCTCTGCTCTGTGTTCTGACAGCCGTGTCTCCCGGGAATGCAGACCGAGGCGGCCACTGGAGACACAGACACACGTCCTTCTGCATCCTGACCAGGCAACAGCCCAGAGACCCCACAGAGTCAGCCGCAGAAGGACAGAAATGGAGGTTTATTCAGAGACCCCCTTCCACGCTGCATTTGATCCAAACTCACTTTCAAAATGACCTGGCTGTCTTCCTACACAGAGCGCCTCACTTAAAACAGCTTTTCTATATTTGTATCAATACATATGCCTCGGGCACTTCAGACTGGGAAAACCCCGCATAGCTCATTTTGTAACACAGGAAAAACACTGGCCTCGAAGGAGATTTTGCTACCTATTGGAGCCTTTTTGCATTTATGGTAACGTGGGTTTTGCTCCTTTGGAGTTAAATTTGCAAATGGGTATTAATTTTCTAATGTTATGGAACTGACTTTTGTTGGGGTATGGAACGTAACCTCCAGGGTTATGATCCAAAGAGGTAATTAATTGTTGGAGAAATGATTTAATACGTTGTAAATCCCTCTATCTCCATCCCTTAAAATGGGATGCCAAGAGCGATTAAAGACTCAGGACATATCACAGGCAAATTCACATGATAAAATTGTAATCACTGTCTGTTGGATTAACCAGGCTCCGGGGCCTCGGCCTGGTTGTTCTGATCAGACGTCTCTCAGACGGCCGAGGGCGAGGAAGGCAGGCCGTGCTGCTAGGAATGACAGTTTGCACGTCTCACTAATCCTTTTAGGAAAACAATATTTGTCCTTTGTGAGGAGCTGCCTCTTCCTTTAATGTCCCAACCTGCAAGGGAAATAGACATGCGTAGTTGGCAAAGCAGGTGTCTGCGCCAGGACGCTCATTAGCTTGCTTATAAGGTAAAACAAAGTTCCCCAGGGATTCAACTGACATCTGCACGAGTGAAGAGAAAATCCCATGTTTGGAATGAAATTGACCAAATGAGACAGTCCGAAGCCGATGTGCCTGGTACATGAGGGGCTGTGGATGTACTCGTGTGGGCCAGCGGCCCTGACGTAGCCACACTCCAGGTCCCTGGGGGCAGAGCTGGGTTAGGATGGAGTTCTGCTCTCCCAGTGTGGATGCCGCTACCTATTACTGAAAACCAGGGATGCTGTTTTAGGTAAGCGAATTTCCTACCTGGAGGAAAACCAAGAACAGAACAGAAAGTGCTGGGGCCATGGTGTCTCACCAAGTAGGTAAAAATGTTCCCATCAAAATACCCAAAGGAGAGGGAGAGCTATGTCTGCTGCTGGTCATTTTAAAGAAAGGAAGGAAGCAGAGGCGGTGTCTGTCATGGAATCCTCAATCATTAGCTTAACCATACGGACCCCCCACTTTTGTTTTGCAACCTGTGTGTCTTCTATCTCCACTTGGCAAGCTAGGGGTGATCGCACCCGCACCGGCCATGGATGCACTGGTCAGTGAGTGTAGACGGGTACAGGACCTCAGCCCAGCAACCTGCCTCTCTTGACCCCAGCAAGGGACCCCTGGGGAGCCAGCAGGCTCAGGGAAGGCTGCCCCGAACCCCCACAAGCTGGGGCCCATGAGCCGGGCTCCGCAGGCTCATAACCTGAGTTTGAATGAGCCTTGGTCTGTGAGTGGCTCCAGCAGCGGCCAGCGTGGCAGAGACCCCCCCAACGGTGTGGTTAACATAGGAAGAAGGCAGTGTTGGCTTCAAGACACCCCCTCCGCTGGGGTGTCACCGTGCTGCTGGCTCCCGGGCTTGGGCGTGGGTGGCCAGTGCGATGCTGGGCGGCAGCTGGAACAGGTCGATCTGTAGACAAACTGTCACCATTTGGTGGTAGAAAACAGACCATGGCATTTCTTTCCCCCTGCCCTGGCCTCAGCTAGCCTTGGTGAACCAGGTTTGAAAGAGTAACAAGGACTGGGCATTTCCTATGTGTCTAGCTATAGAATTTAGTCCTCGAATCAGCGGGCATTTCCGGCTTCTTATGAAGGCGAAGGAAATAAGACACCTCACAAGCTTTGCCTCGAGCTGCAGGGTCCACTGTGGTGGCCACGAGCCATGTGTGGCCACTGATACTCGAAATGGGGCTGGCCTGAATGGAGAGGGGCTCTAAGTGCAAGACACACTGGGTTTTAAAGACTTAATACAAAAAAAGGAATGTGAAATATCCCCCTAATAATTAAAAAATGCTGACTACTGTGAAATGATACTCTTTCACATACATTGGGATAAATAAAAATCATTACAATTAATTTCATCTATTTACTCTTTTTACATAGCCAGTAGAAAAGCTACCATTTCACGTGTGGCCCGGTCTCTTTGTGTGGCCAGCCGGGTTTAAAGGGACACTCCCTAGCACCAGATCTAGATGTACTAGAAGGTGCATCTTTCCTTGCCCTAAGACGGTTCTAAAAATGAGCATCTGGGAAAAAGACTGTTTCAAACACCAGTTATTAGCAAAACTCTTCCCTATTTAAACCTTTTCCCCGCCCCAGTGCTGGAGAAGTGTCAGCTCTGGGGGTTGGATGCAGGAGGAGTTCGGGGACTCCATGCCCAGAGCCCCCGTCGGATGTTTCCCGAGAGTAGTGGGCTTGCTAAGGAGGAGCCTGCTTCCCTGTATTTTGGGCACAGGGGCCATGGAGGATCAGACCTTTTGTGCTGGGAGTTCTTAGAATGAGGAGGCCAAATGACTTGTATTTGATAGAGCAGATTGCTACGTTAGCCTTGTTGAAAAGGCAGCCTAATTTCACATTAAGAAATGACTCTACTCCACCCCAGCGAGAGGCAGGCTGATGTTTTGGAGAACAGTAGATCATGTAGATACATGGTTGAGCAACTAAAAAGAAAAACACAATTTAATTTTTTTGAAACCAAGTAATTGGAAGAATGTATGATTAGTTAAATGGTCCTTTTAAAAAACATGTTGTTTTTCATCCAAGAAGGGACAGAGAGATTTTTTTCCTTCACCTTTTCCTCAGTATTTCCTACATTTGCTGAGTGGTTGCTTACACATCGGCTGTCTGCACCTCAGAGATTTTCTAGACTCAGTGATTTAGAAGCATGTGGTCCAAGTTGACACAATTCTCTGAAAATTGAGACTGAGTTCAGTCACAAATGAACATATTTAATTTGATATTAAAATTTAATCATATTATTTAAAAAAAATAAGTTGAAACCATAACTCCATTCTCAATAGAAATGATGTACTAGATGTGTCTGGTTTTAACCAGAATGAGCACCTCTGTTTCAGATTATGACCAGTAATTTCTGAAGTTGATTCAGGATCACTTTGAAATGACCCTGGAAGCAAATGACTTTGGAGTTTGCAGCTGACCGGCTGACCTGCCTTCCATTACCTAAAAGGGATTTGAAACAGCTCCTAGCACTCAGCTTTCTGAATGTGCAAAACTGATAAAGTAGTATGTTAGGGAGAAAAAGACAGCGAAGAAATAAATATGGAAATTAGCAAAAACCAGTATTAAGCATATGTCTTTATGAATAAGACTTAATCACACACTTCATTTTGCAAATACAAAAGGGCCTTTTGAAATGTATTAATTAAAGTTAAATGCTTTAGACAGGCCGCTTTGTAGGGCGGAGGTCCTCTCCTCATTAGCATAGCATTACCGACAGCCGAGGAAATTGGGTTAATAAAGCTGGATATTGCAGCAGAGCGGCTGGGGTGCAAATGGGCACGGACAGCCTGGTCCCCAGGGTGGCTGGCCGGCTGAGCAGAGCGTGTGGACCCCTATGGTGGCAGAATTCTGCGCCGTGCACCCACATCAAAGAGACAGACCCCAACACCAAGAGACAAACCCGTCACCTTTCCACAGGTCAGGAAGCAACCCCTCCCACCAGCCTACTCACCCGTGGCCCAGCCTCCTCCCCTGGAAACGGGTTGGGGGGTTGGTGTGGAGGTCAGCTGGGCTAGACTGGCCCTTCCCTGACAACCCAGGCCAAGTGGGGGCCCTCCTTGGTACAATTGCCTGTAAGCAGAGGGTGCGCGGCGGGTCTCCATCCAACTCCACGCGGGCCACATCCTGGCGGGGACGTTCGGGCGTGAGTGGTGGGGGCCGGGGAGTCCAGGGACTGTATAGGGAACAAATTCTGCAGACTTGGAGGCAGTGTTGGCTCCACTCACCTCTAGAGGTTCGCGCCTCTAGGCAGGCAAGAAAATTAACATAACACGCTCTGACTTTGGAAAGCGGAAAAGCTACTGCCTGGGGTCTTCCGGTGTCATGGGCAGTCCAGCTCCTTTTCCAAACGACAGTTGCAAGCTGGGTCAGGGCCCATGAGACCGCCGGGCTGCAGGGGCGACGGTCACCGAGCCTCAGAGACCGGAGGTAACCTGGCGCCGGCGCCATGCTTCGTCCAGAACACACCCAACAGGAGCGGGCCGGCAGTTCCGCCAGAGCCCAACGCCAGGGCCCCGGGCTGCCAAGCCAAGCTAAGCGCTCTCCCTGCGCTCCGCGAGAACCCGGCTGGCGCCAAGCAGGACCACTCCCCTGGGATCACGCAGGTCCCCCGCTTCGGCTGTAGTCCTGGTTTTCTTTTTCAGGGTGAGCGGCGGTGCCCGGACAAGCAGGGTCTGTCACCCGTCAGAAGGTTGCCCAGAGGGCGCGCAGCGGGCTCGGGGTGCAGATGCCAGTGACCCCGCTCTGCGGCTCAATCCTGTGCCCAGACGTGCTCTGAGCTTCTCGCGGCCCTACGCCCGCGGTTGAGCGCGCACGGGCTGGAAGCGACGTCTGGCCGCCTTCTCCGGTGGGCGGGGTTCAGTCGGGGCAGGGTGACACGGTCGTGGGGGCAAGGTAAAATGCAGGACGCGTGCGGGAGGAGGGGCGGCCGGGGCCCTCATGGCTTCTCGTTACAGTGTTTGCAAAGCGCCGAGGGCGTCCCGGAGAAGGCGGTGCACTTGTCTGGGCAGGGCAGCGGGGCGCCCGCGGAGAAGGGGTATACAGCGGCCTGGCCGAAGGGCGCCAGGGGCGCAGCGGCCACAGGCGCCGCCAGGCCCTGGCCCTGGTTGAGGTAAGCCACGAGGCGCCGCATCTCGTCCAGGGCCTGCGCCTGCATGAGGATGTAGTTCTTGGCGAGCAGCAGCGTGGCGATCTTGGAGAGCTTGCGCACCGACGGGCTGTGCGCGTAGGGGATGACGGCGCGGAGCCCGTCCAGCGCGTCGTTCAGGTCGTGCATCCGCCGCCGCTCGCGCGCGTTTATGCTCAGCCGCAGCGAGCGCTGCTCCCGGGGCCGCCGCCGCGCGTCCGCTGCGCCCCCGGGCCCCCGCCCCCGCCCCCGCCGCCGCCGCCGCCGCTCGAAGGCGTCGTCCTCGTCGCCGCTCTGCTCGCCGCTGCTCTCGGCCACGGCCACGGCCACGGCCACGGCGTGGGGCGCGGGCGCCGCGGGGAGGTCGCCGCCCGGGCCCGGCGCGCCGTAGCCGCGGGCCGCCTCGGACCCCCGCGCTGCCCCGTAGGCCAGGCCCGCCGTCGCCGCCGCGTAGCCGTGGCTCAGCGCCAGGTACGCGTCCCCCGACAGCGACTTGAGGTCGGCCATGGCCGCGCGGCCGCCGCCGTGCAGCTCCCGGCTCGCGCGTCGGTCCGGCTGTCGGTCGGTCCCCGAGCCTCCCCGCCTCCGCGCGCCGGGCCTCTCTGGCCGGCGCGGCCACGCCTGCGGGTCGCCGCCTCCTCTCCTCCCCCACCCTCGCCGCCGCCGCGTGCAGGGCTGGGCCCGGGGGCGGGCTCGAGCTCCCACTCGCTCCGCTCCAGTTTTAAGGTGCGGGGGCGCCCGCTGGGACTTCGCGGCCATCCAATCAGAAGGGACTTGGTGGCCGCCTCTTCGGAGCCTGGCTCCACGGGCGGCCGGCGCAGACCGACGGCCGGCCGGGGTGGGGGGACCGTTGGCATGGAGGGAGCTGGAGGTCTGGGTGGAGATGGGATGGCTGCGGCTTTACCGGCTCCTTGGCCTCTCCGGCTGTCTCCTTCTGCCACCCAGGGGGTTGCCACCGCAGAGCGCTCGGGCTTCACGTGAGTCTTGTCCTGTGTTCCTCTGGCAGGAGCTGGCTCCCCCAGCGCAGGGGTCCGAGCGGGGAGTGCGCCGCACAACCCGGGACACTGTGCCATGCTGGCCCAAGCAGGTGCAGAGGGCATGCCTGGGGCCCTCTGCCCGGGTCTCGGTCGTGCAGCCCCGGGTGGGTGCCCTCGTCGAGCCAAAGCACAGCTGTTCAAGTGAGTTCGCAAACCGCTCACTCTGGCCGCCTGCCCTGGGGCGCCAGGCACCGAGGCACCGGGCACCGAGGCACCATCAGGGACCTACCTCCCTGGGCCTCCAGTCCCCATCACCCCCTTTCCCGGGATGCCTGCGTCTTGAAGTGGTTTCCACGCTCCCCCCAAGTCTTAGTGATTTAAGGCAGGGATTGGAGTTTGAGGACAAAACTTCTTGTTTAGGATAAACCTCTTGATTCAGTTTTCTGGTATTTCAAGTATAAGGGTTTCTCACACTTGTCCAAGAGCAGAGAGGGAATCTTCTGGTTTTCTATTTGCCAGGGCGTGGCCTCCGGGGTGGAGTTGGGGAGGATGGCCAGTGAGAGACTGGGGGCAGGGGTGGGGCGTAAGTCTGGCCTGTGTCTCCTCCCAGGGACATTGGGGTGGCATCCCCAGGTGGGCTTTCTGGGGTGTTGCCGGAGCACCTGTGGGGGTGGCAGCTGGGATGCATGATGTGGGATTCTGCAGTTCTCCCATCAGCCTGCAATGGGGTGGGGGCTGTGTGGTCACTGGACACAGCTTCCTCAGTGGGAGGAACTGGCTGCCAGGGAAAGTTCCGGCGGCTGAGGGGAGGGGCTGGGGACTAAGGCCAGGCCTGTCTGAAGGGTTGAGAGGGGCTGAGGAGCCGTGAGTTTCTAACACAGGTTAAAGGACCCCAGGAACAGCTCAAATGGGGGGTGGTAAGGAGCTGAGGGCAGCCTGGTTCTGTCTTCAAACCCTGGGTACGCTTGGAGAATACACTGAGGGAATGGCTTAACGCCTTGACGCCCTAGCAGTGCTCCCCAGTTGACTCTTCTCCTTGTTCTTGGGCTGAAAACTACGTGCACAGTGGCTTGCAGGCCTTCTCCCAGAGTTTCCAGAGGTGCTGCTGGGGTGAAAGCCAGGACCCCAGACTTTCTCCCAGGTGGGGAGCTGCCCAGAGGCCTGGGAGCTAGCGAGGATGCTTGCTTGCCACCTCGGTCCAGAGACAAGGGTCACCCTGCCTCCAGCATGAGACCTTGGCAAAGTGGCTTAATGTCTCTGCTCTCCAGGTTCCTTCAAGGAGAGGAGACTGTTTTGTTGAGTGCTTCAAGGAGAGGAGGTCCATATTTTGTTGAGTGCTCAGGGAGGGTGGGTAGGCGCCGTGCGCTTTTGTGGAGTGAATAGTTAAGAGTCATTTGCTCTCTGCAAGGTTCTGGAAATCCAGCAATGACTAGGATCCTGTCTCTCAGGGCTTCTATGCTGCGTGCAGGTGTTTGAGGACACAAACAGAAGAAAGCAATCATGGAGAACTTCAGAGCCCCCTTGCTCTGGGCCTTGCAGAGAAATGAGTGGAGAGGAGCTGCATGAAGGCTAACTGCCTGCGCATGCTGGAGCCTCGTGTTTGCCCTGGCTGTGCATTCAGGAGGGCAGGTCTCACCCACCAGTGCATCCTGACTCAGAGCAAATGTGGGTGGCAAGGGTTGGCAAGGATGAGAAGGGTCTGGGCTGAGCCCAGGTGCAGGCGGGCGCTGGGGACAGCCTGTTGTGAACAGGAGGCCATGGTGTGAAGAGTGAGTGGGTGTTAATTCAGCCACGGGGCTGGGGTGGGGGCATGCAGCCGTCAGAAGGAGCACCTTGGAGGACAGCAGCAGGGGGCCAGTGTGGGGCCAGGGACTCCAGGGTTGGGGGACCAGCCACGCTGGGGAGTTTGGTCTTGGATAGAACAGGAGCAGTCATTGAATGTGCTCAGGGAAGTGTTCTCGATAGACCACTGTGGTCAGGGGGCTTGGGGGCACTTCCTCCTGGGTGTCCCCCGAGGCCTGGCAGAGCGGTCAGGGGGTGAAAGGGGACATGGAGAGAAGTGGGCTAACTGCACAGGCACCCTGAGGCTAACAGGTGCAGTGCATCAGACGATGTCCTGCCTCTGGGACTCAGGTTTGGGTGGAGGTGAAGGGGTTGGGGGGGCAGTATGCTATGGACATACTGAGTGTGGGGGCGTTTGGATCACCCAGGGGGGTGTCAGCAGACTAGGTAGTAACTGAGCAAAGGTGTGGATGACAGTGGCTTTCAAAGCGTGGCCTGGATAGATGCATACGATGGAGTATTCCTCAGCCACAAAAAGAATAAAATCTTGCCATTTGCCATGACGTGGATGGAACCAGAGGGTATTACAGGCTAAGCCAAGTAGTTCAGTGAGAGGAAGACAAATACCATATGGTTTCACTCCTATGTGGAATTTAAGAAACAAACAAGAAAAGGGAAAAGAGAGAGAGGCAAACCAAGAAACAGATTCTTAGCTCCAGCGAGCACAGTGCTGGCCACCAGAGGGGAGGGGTAAGCAGGGTGGGGTAGGGGAAGCTGGTGATGGGGATGAAGGCATGCACCTGTGATGAGCACTGGGCGATTAAAATAAAAACTTTAAAAAAATTAAAAGATTGAACCCTGGAGAAAGCTGGCCTGGAGCAGCGTCCCAGCCATGGCTGCAGGTGGGCATCACCTGGGGAGATTAAGGTGTAGCTGGCCTCTGCTGCAGCCTGAGCTGGCTTGGCCTGGGGCCGGGCATGGCGGTTGGGATGTCTAGACGTCAGGCCAAGGCCATTTTCTGAATGGCCAGGTAACTAAGCCCCTTCAGCAGCTCAGAGGAGGACTGGAGGCAGGGGTGGGCCTGCGGGTGGCAGGCAGGACCCTGACACTGCCTTCACGAAGGCCCACCCGGCTGATGGTGCAAAGCCAGCTACAAATCCCCGCAAAGCTCAGGGAGAAGCACCGTTTTTGGTCAGGGGCCGCCACCTGCTGGCCATCCAGGAGACTGCGCTCCACCCGCGGCCCCGGGGCTGCTCGGAGCTTCCACGGCTGGAATCAGGCTCTCTGGCCGCTGGGCTTCTGATCCGGCGGCCAGAGGCTGGTTCCTGCTGTCTGCATGAAGTGGAGAAGCCTGTCGTGCTCCCCCCGGAATTCACCGTCCTGGGGTCCCTGGTGTATTCAGCCTGATGAGCAGATGTGTCCCTTGGTCCTGCTTTCCCAGCAGTGGACCCTTTGCTCCCCCCTGCGGGGGCAGTGCAGGGTGAGGCCACTCTGCACGGACTGTGGGGTCTCCTGGGGAGCCGCTCAGCCTCTCTGGGGCTGTTTCTGCATCCGTGAAGGGGGATGGGGTTTGTACCCGAAGGCTGCTCCAAGCCAGTGGTGCCTCCTCCCTCCGGTAGCCACTCTGGGTCATGCAGCAGTGGTCCCTGCACACGGACGGCCCCTCTGCTGCAGTCTAGTCCCATTGGATGCCACAGCCTGCCAGTGGATGGCGCCCACCGCCCCTGCTGTTGGGTCTTGGGGAAGGGGGCCAGTGGGGTGGGTGGGGGTCCACGTGGAGTGCAGTGACCTGGGGAGCCAGGGGAGCAGGCAGGGGGAGCAGGAAGGAGCACGGCTCTGGGTCGACAGAGCTCGCTGCGGCGTGGCCTTGGGTAAGCCACACTTCCTCTTCTGCAAAATGGACAGGCATCGACACAGGGCATGGAGAAGGACAGGAGAGGCTGTGGACACCGTGGACACACCGAGTGGCTCCTCTGGGGGATTCCCAGCCTCGGGATTGGAAGATTCCACCTATTGATGTTGAAAACCAGCCTTCGTGCTAGAGTTCCTGTCTCATAGCACAGGGACCGTTCCTCATGCTTTATATCACTCAGGACGCTTCAACAGCTTCTTTTCAAACATCACTAACAAAGAGCATATTTTACTAAGAAGCTGCATTGACCAGACGGGGACATGGGGCGACTTGCACATAGAGCTACTGGGTTGTGCCCTCTTGATGGGGTGCATATAACACAGTCCCCCGGCCCCAACCACCCACCGAGTGTTGCTCATGACTCCCACCAGTTGGACCTTCAGATCCCCCACAGAGGTGGCACCTGCTGGCTATTCAGGAAGGATGTCTTAGAGGCAGGTGCAGCACGCATCAGCATGAACTTATCTCCCCAAACTGTCTCCTTGGTTGGTGGCCCAGCCATTGACCATTAACAAGAGAACTAGTCAGCGTGGAAGCTCAGGGAGGGTTACTTTCTTCTGCTCTGCCCCCTCTTGTCCATCACCAGACAGATGCCTGGCTGATCTGATCTCTTTCCACTTAAAATGTCCAGCAGCTGTCACTCACCTGCGGGATAGAGACCTTGCTGCTTGGGGGCGCTCTGGGTCTTTCACACCTGCCCACTCCATGCTGTGAGCCTCATCCCAACATTGCCCCCAGCGCCGGTGGGGTGGGGGGGACGCTGCATTGGTGCCAGTGATTTGTGGTGCGGGAAGTTTATGGTTTTAGAGCTTTGGCTTTAGACATCTGCCCACTTG